ATAAGCATACAACTGAGTAGATAATACAGATCAGCAAAATACCAACGTTTAGATTTAGCTGGAGCGTTACAGTAAGACAGTGGTTTTCAACCTGTGGGCCGCAGCCCCCCAGTGAGCCATGGTGGTGTTTGTAGGGCTGTTAGCCATCCATTTATTTTTTCCCATTTTTTATTTATTTATTTTTTTAGTTAACTAAAAAATGTGATCACTTCACCAAATGTTTTGCTCTGGCAAAATGCTAGCTAGTTATGTTTGTTTTTACAGTGCAAGTCACTGTAAACCATTTCACTTTTTAATCATATGGAATTCATCCATCACTGATAAATGGTTGAAATCATCCTTCAAAAGGAACAGCCCCGAGGCTGGGCCACTTACCAAGCCAAACAGCCACTGCATCTCAGACTGAGACAACAGAGAAATCGAACAAACATTAGTGACTACAGCACTAGGCTTCCTCCGGGTGGGAACTGAGCATCACACTACACACCCTCTCTGGCAGTGAAGATGATCTTAAACCTGAGAAATTTCTGTGAACTGGGACCAGACTGGTTAAATCTTTTTGTGGCCCACGGAACTTTTGTGTTTGTTTATGTGGGAAGCGAGTTGCAAAAGTTTGGGAAGCCCTGCTGCAAGAGATCGCTTGTTAGATTTTGGAATGCTTCACAAAAAGCCATACACAACGGTCAGTGGAGTCCTTTCAGAAAGCATCAATTACAACAACAAGACTCCTTCAATCTACATTCTTGTAAATTTATCTAAAAGCTGGGGGGTTTGCACACTTCCTGGCCTTTTCTTTCAAACTTCATGTTTGTGTTTCTCTACTCCACACATGCCCCTTCACTCAGTTTGCAGAGCTGACTTCTGAGTGCATTTGAGCTGAAATTATGAGAGCTGCACAGGAAATCTGAAGTGAGACAGGAAAACAGGAGCTATCGCTTCTACTAAATCAGCAGAAAGCAGAATCCTCTTCTTGAGAACTGTGAGCGAAACTAAGTGGAGATGGTGAGAAGATGAAAGAAGAAGAAACTTCTAAGAACAATCCAACTTCGTTTTTGATAAACGGCAGGAAAATAAAAGAAAATGGTTGATGGACTGTAAAGCATTTAAAGGAAGCCTTGTAATGTGTGCAAAATCTTTTAGAAAACATACCAGGTAACACTTTGCTGTAGGGCAGTGTTCATAAAGCTACATGACATATACATAAGCTCGTCATGACAGCGGGCATAAACCTACACAAACATTTATAAAGGTTTATTCCAGTAGGCCTCATCTGTCTTAAAAGCTGATCAGAGTTGGCAAAGGTAACCTTTATGACGCATGATGCCTACTGGAAAAAGCTTATATAAATGCTTATGCAGGTTTATGTCAGTTATCATGACAAGCTTATGTATGTGTCATGTAGCCTTATAAGCAATGCCCTACAGTAAAGTATTATAAAATATTTTAGAATATAATAATGTGTTTAGTCATCTGGTGTTGCATTAAATACTGGTACTTTTCATAATACCTTCTAATTTTATTCTAAATTGTAACATATGTACATTCTATATTGCATAGCCTCCCATAAGTATCAGGACACTGAGGTCAAATTTAGTCTCTTCACTTAAGCACTGAGCACTAAAGATAAAAGAAGGAGTAAACAGAACAACCTTTCTTTCTGGAGTCACTGTTTGTTTCATTACTCTTTTTTTTGCTAATGTTGCAGAACTTACATGAGCATTAATATTGGGACAGTGGATTTTATTGATAAGATTTTCCCCCTTGCATTCTCTCGGTAAACAGATCAAATCAGTAAATTCTTGGTTTCAGCCTTTGCTCATGATAAAACTGGTCAAATCATTCAATCATGCACTCATTTCCTTATACGGAAGGAATACTGAACTTGGACATCCCTTACACACAATATGACTGGTATTGTTATGCGGAATGACTCAAACTCTAAATCTTTTGACTAATTATTTGCATTTTAACATTTTCATTTACGGCATTTAGCAGGGTTTGATTAGAGTGGAGGTGCAAGGGGATGTAAAGACCCTGGTTATCCCAGTAGTAAAATCATCACGCTCACTTTGCATCCCTTAATAATGGACTAATGCTGTTATGTGACATCAGTCAACATTTCTATTATCAGAGTTTTATTTCATCTATATTTGTGATCAACACCCTTTAGTGTATCAGAGCAAATTCTGTATAAAGAAATGGGCAATCAAATTACAAGACAGATATCTGAAAAGGCTTTTTCTCACTAAAACTGTAAAAAAGTAAATATAACAGTATATAACCAACCACTGCATCACTAACTTTGCCTGTGTCCAAAAACACATACAACTAAACAACATGTATTGTATTGATCATTGCACTTCTAATGGCAGTGTACAATATTTGACATACTATTTACTACAGTAGTTGCTTTACTACATGTTGCTTTTGGACGCAGCCTATATGTTACAGCTTCTGGGCCATGGGATCAAAAGCTGGCTTTAATGTGGGACAGAGCAGGTATAATAACATATTTACAGCAACAACTGGATTAGGAAGTCTAGACTTTTTGTGCTGTGACAGCACAATTTGTCTAGGCCGTGAGCTGGAGACTGTAACAGCATTTGACTAGGCCACAAGCCGTAGACTGGGCTGTTACGGAAGCGTTTGACTAGGCTGTGAGACAGAGGCTGTGCCATGAGCCGGGGACATTGCACTGTGACGGTGGAGCTTGACTAGGCCATGAGCTGGGGCCGGGAACTTTTTGGGCCAAGGCAGTGGCAGAGTTTGCCTAGGCTGCAGATGGGGTCTTTGTGCCATGATGGCAGAGTTTGACTGGGTCGTGAGCCAGAGGACATTGTGCTGTGACAATAGTGTCTGGCTGGGCTGCGAGCCGGGACTTCGCGTTATGATAGTGTAGTTTGGTTGGGCTGGAAACTGGGGACTTCACGCAGAGATGACGGAGACGCTGTAAGCCGGGGACTTCACACCGTGATGGCGGGTTTGACTGGGCCCCAGGCTGGGCATTCCGTGCCATGATGGCAGAGCTTTTTGTAAGTCGCTCTGGATAAGAGCGTCAGCTAAATGCTGTAAATGTAAATGTAAATGTAAGCTTGGATGGGCCAGAAGGTGGGGATTCCACACCATGATGGCAGAGTTTGGCTGCCTGCGAGCTGGGGACTTAACGTTTCAGTTAAATTTGGTTGAGGGCCGGAGACTTTGTGCTGTGACATAAGAGTCTGGCTGGCTACTACACCCTCAGTCAGGAGTCTCTCTTTGCCAACTGGGAAACTGTGTGTGTTTTTTATTATTAGTCATAAATATATGGTGTCCCTGAGTTTGAGAAAGACTCTATATAATTATTATTATTATTATTATTATTAATCATTATAATTATTATTAAGAAGAAGAAGAAGAAGAAGAAGAAGAATTCCCACAGTTAAATAATTGTCTCATTTTAAAACAAAGCACAACCAAATCCAGAGGTACAAAATAAATAAATGGCCATCAAGAATAATTGACATTTCTGCCATACTTAAAAATGTATTCATGTCACTGTTTTAGGAAATAAAATTTCAAACTAAGAGGCATTTATTTTACGCAGACCATCCCAATACTATCATTTTCTTTTTGGTAAATTATTTTCTTAAAAGGTAGCGGAGTTTTAGATTGTTATTGTTTGAGTGGTTTCTTTGCAGATCTGCGTCCAAAACGCCTTTGTACACTTCAGAGGTCATGATCCCATCAATAAGCGCAACCCCACTAACACCCATGTAAGAAAAAACAGCCACAGATAGATGTCTCCACCTCTGTACTTTACAACTGCTTTAATGCAGCCTGGTTGGAATTCTTCTCCAGGCTTTCTCCACACATAGTCAACATCAGTTTGATGTGAAAATCTCGAACTATACCACGAACCCTTCGAGCTTGGAGTACAGCTCGGCTTGACCCGCCATCCTTCAAGGCGCGTGGAAGGCAAGCATCAAGACTGTTCTCTGTGCTGGCACCCAGGTGGTGGAACAAACTCCCACTGGCTGTCCGAACAGCAGAGTCTCTCACTGTCTTCAAACGCAGACTGAAGACACATCTCTTCATACAGCACTTAAATGAGCACTGAGTTAAGTATTGATTGTAATGTATTGTCCTTCACTTATGTATTGTATTGTATTGTATTGCACTGCTCTGTGTTTAACTCTGTTCCTTTTTCTCTAGATGTCAATAATGACTTTCTGATTCTAGCAGTATCTGAGCTCAGGACTGGCTTTCTCTCTAACCTATTGGTAACCAGCAAAGATACTTTCTCTGGACAGACAAAGCACTTTTTGTGAGTCACTCTGGATAAGAGCGTCTGCTAAATGCTGTAAATGTAAATGTAATTTTTTTCTTGAAAACAAATATCAACCTAAAGCAACCTTAAGAACTTTTTCCAGTGGTTAAAGGGTCAAAGTATCCAAATACTTTGGGGAGACCTGTATGGTACATAAAAATAGTAGAAGTAGGCTGCTGCTCTCCGTGAGCTCTGATATTACTGATTTCATACATTCATTTTTTCCACATATTTAACTGCTATTCTACAGTTACAGCCTCATCCACTGACAGCAGTGGAAAAAATAATGATACTGTATACAGTCTTTTTGAGTGGAATGGCTGCATCTGTAAAAACGACTTTTCATATCTAACATGTTTAATTTCAAAGGTGACACTATGATCTCAACAAGCAGATCTCAACAAGAACGACAAGGGATTAGTGTCAAAGGAAGGGTTCCGGGTTTCAAACATGTCAGTCACTTTCTTTTAGATATTCAAAATACCAACTGGAAGTGGACAAAGTGGGACTTACTACAGCTTCTACATTCAGACTGAAAGTAGCCCAAAAATGAAAGCTGAACTCTAAAAATGGCTCAAAATAAAAGTGTAAATTCTGTAAAAAGTACTCAAAAAATATGTTACTAAAATATGTTTCTTCCCAGCGCGGACAATGAAACTGCCCTCAGTGACTTGAGTCCAACACCCCCTCCCCGGACCCCCCACCCCATGCTGAAGATTAATAAATATGATGCGGAAATTCCTTCGAGGTGCTATATAAATCGGAAAGTTCGGGCAAGAGCAACAAGAACAAACAGCAAACGGAGAGGCGAGACATCAGCAAGACACGCGTGACTCTCCAGCATGTCCTCTATGAAGAGTGAGTGAAAGTGCTTAGTCGCGTCAGTGATGCTCGCTGATTCACTTCCCGCCTTCACTTCCCTCTCACTCTCTCTCTCTCTCTCTCTGCAGATCTCCAGCTCTTGCTGGCCGTCCTGCTCCCTCTGGCCGCCCTCGGTAACCTGCTGCCGGGCTACAGCGCTCCAGGAGACGTGCCCGAAATTTCAGGAGAAGAGCTGCAGGACTCAACCGGAGCTTTCGAGCACCACAAGTGGCTCTCTATCGCGAGAATCCTGCATCGAGACATCACGAGACTGCGCGACGAGCAGGTACAAGATCTCAGACTCGTAGCTAACGCCTGTGAACTGCTGTTCACTGAGTTACGTGTAGTTTTTTTTAAATGATATTTTCCTCACAAGCCAATCTATCTACTTATTCACGTCTTGCAATCTTCTAACTAGCTTTAGTTAAATGTGTTTCAGTCAAATTTCGACTGATTTGTTCGTTTCTGAGTACATCTGCCTCATTTCCCCCCCTCAATTACTATTTTAGCCTGTCACACTGAGCTCACAGCCCCTTTTCAGTGTTTAATTTCACCCTTTTCTGTTGGCTCAGTGTTTTAGCGTGTCACACCTCTCACTTTGGAGCTTCAGCATTTATTTTAGACCAGAAGGATCCCAAAAAACAAAGAATTTAGCCTAACAAACTTATGTTATATGACTAGATCTATATGTTACTAAACCTCAATATATATACCCAGATAGAAGGCAGGTTTGGGCCGATTCTGGCTTTCCTAAGACTGATATTAGGCACGCAGGCCGGAATGACACCCGCATGCCTAACAAAAGGGCCAGATGCTGGACAGCTTCAAACGGTTTTGCTTCATGTCTAAATTTGCGGGCAAATTCTGGTGTCAATGTTGTGGACCAACAATGTAGTTGTGGAGCACATCCATTAGTTCTACTCACTTTACGGTGTGTGGGCCAGATCTGGTCCAAGGACCCATCTAGGCTCTGGGACATATACTGGGCCAGAACAAACCCCAAAACAAATTTTGCTAACTGGGTATATATCTAAATCTCTATGTACCGGGATTGAGCCAAAAAGTGCACCTTCTGGGGACCAGTTTGAGAGCTAGTGCTGTAGGAGACTCAATACAGGATATTTTGCCTTTTTACTCTTACTTAGAGAAGAATTCACCAGTTGTTCTAATTTTCAGCATTGATAAGATGTAAACAAAGTCATGAAAACTGGTGTGAAATGGCTGCATTCTAGAGAAACTCACTGACCCAGACTGTCTTTACAGTGGTGGTGGTAGGAGCCAGGTGTCACAAGGTCCACAAGTTTTATATGCATTACTGATAATGGTAAAAGTTATAAATCCAAAAATAAGGTTTTCTTTAGGTGCTATTTTGTCTTGCAACACCCTGCATGTACAGCTCCACCATGAATGGATTTTAAGTAATACGTTTTAAGCCCAAACCTTGTAACAATACAACCGGATAACAACATCTTAAGACATCAGGCAGCATATTCACAAGCATTTAATGTAATAGCTTTCTGTGAGGGAGCTTTCAGAGTCATTAAACTCTTCAGATGTCTGGTTCCTATCACCACCAGTGTGAAATTCGGACTTGGTAGGTTTCTCTAGAATGGAGGATTTCACACCAAACCACTTTGAGTGACTTTATATATTATGCAGAAAATTTGGAAAAATTGGTGGAATTCCCCTTGTACATCATTTTTGTTGCTACTTTTAATTCTACTTTCATAGTTTCACTGTAGTAACACTTTGACCTGAACGTGGTTTTAGGCTCCTCTGCTCGTAAAATAACTCGTTTTGTACCATCGCAGTTTCAAAGGGACTTCGGGGAACCAGTGGCGAATATGACGAATTACGCCAGCGTGAGGAGCAAGACGCCTCTCATCAGCCCATCTGATGGATGCTATTCAAAGAACTTTAGTGCAGTAAGCAAAAATATTACATATTTACCTAGAGATAAATAGTCTGCGCATTTACATTTAACATATATTTAAATAAACCCTTTGTCATGAACGTCTGTCTTCTACAGCAAAGATGCCTGAGGCGGATTTATGCTGGTTTAAGCACATACAGAGAGTACCTGAGCAAAGTGGAGAGAGAGAACCTGACTGCAGCTCAGGTCACCGACATCAAACTGCGGACCACCAGCTTACTGAATATAATCAAAGAAAAGGTAAGTAGGCTGAGTCGAGCCAAGTTTGTGTGTGACGTCTTTACTGCTGCCTAAAAAATGCTGATTTAGCCGAACTTACATATCACTACTGTCCAAAAAAAATGCATGTATCCTCCAGCTTCTCTTACAGAGTGAACGTTTCATCATGAATGAATGAATAGAAAGGCTCCAAAATTATTTTAAATAAAATCTCTTTATATTAACTTACATTAAAAGCTAAGAATGTTTTGCCTTCTCCTGTAAAGTTACTGTTTTGGAGATTTTTTTGGGACAGTATCAATATACCATGTTTTTCTTTACACTCAGTCCTTGGGGTGTTTTTCACAAAGCAGGATTTCTCAGTAAAGCTGAATAACTCTGAATATCTGAAGACTGTCCAATAGGAATGTGCCTTGGCTCTTCTCATTTTGGACAGGCTGGACTGTGCTTAAGTTATCTGGCTAACTGAGTAACCTAACTAAACTCAAGAACCCCCTGGTTCCTTGGATGTAGTTCAGTAAAACAATGGCAAAAGTTAATTTGGAACAAAATATTCTACTTTTTATTATTCAAGCTATATGGATTTATTGTCCAATAATAGAGTCAAAAGTTTGAACACCTCAGTCAAATTACCTAAACGTGTTTTGTTGACTTCTAGTGCACAATTTCTATTCATGTGCTGAGTTCAACATATTGGAGAAAAAAAATAGACATAAAACATAAAATGTGCCAGACCAGTTTTGAACAAGCCACTTTTTTCTCTCTCTATATAATATCTAATATGTTAAATTCAGCAAATAAATAGTAATTAAGCATTAAAGTGTGCAGAAGTAGAAGATGCAGTAAGTTTTTTTTTTTCAAATTATTGCGCCCAAACTTTTGCACAACTGCATACTGGTTATAAAATCAACTTCTTCCAAAATACCAAGCACACAGTTAGTGTCGTTCCTAGTTTCCCAGAAAATGGAAAAACGTTGTGGTTTAAATGTCCTGAATGATGTAGAATGAAGGAATCTTTCAACTGATTTCACGCTGATGCACTCTGGCGCTTCTGTTCTGCAGTCTGATTATTTTAGGAAACTCGTAGTAAAGTCACATTCCTTGCAGTCATCATTTCTTCATAGTGTTTAAAACATAAATTACATTGACTGGCAAAAACTATATTTTACTTAAGGCAACTGACCGTGTAACCTCATTCCATCTTTTCACTTGCACCTACAGGTGGATGACGCTCCGATCCAGCCGCACTCCGTCAGCGAGTTACCTGATGGTTCTGCATGGACACAGAGGACGGTCACGCATTCCATTCTGTACAATTTAGAAGTGTTTCTGAAGGAAACAAGCAGAGCAATCAATTTCATAAACAAGAAATTAGGGAATCACATCAGGAAGGAAATCAAAGAGTCCAAGTGGCCCTCAGAGAAGCATTCGCAGGAGTAGAGTAACATGAACATGTTTTTGTTTTTATAGGAAAAACAACAGTAAGAGTTATTTATTTATCTGGTCACATATTTATTTATTTATTTATCTATCTGTCTATTTATTAGGGGGGCATCAGTGTCCTGATGTGAAGTACACTGTTTTTACTGAATGTAATATCTGTTAATGTTTACTTTTACAGTATTTGTATTTGTACCAACTGAATGGAAGATGATAAATAGTGGCCTGAGTTACATTAACTCGCATGTTTATGCTGCTCTGAATGATTCAGATCAAATGAGGATAAATAAAGTTTTATTCACTGAGTTCAAATACCTGTTTGTTTTGTTTTATCATGAAAACAAACAGAACTTGAGAAAGAATGCAGCTCACAAATGAACAATGAACTTACAGACATCGTATAAAATAAAATTAAATTAAAAAAAAAAAACAAAACAAACAAAAAAAATAGGATCCAGACATGGTTCTTGATAATCTGTAATAACAGGTGGTGTGGAGAAGAGTTTAGGAGGCCTAAATCATTGCTGAAACAGCTTCATGGAAGTATGTAGGCATAATTTTGCTTTCCGAGAGGTGATGCATGAGTCTCCTTAAACAGTCCAGAAACTAAGCCTCTGGGACAAAAAGACATGTTGAGATGATGTGATCTTCTGCAGGCGTTTCTTCATCATTGCTCTTCATCCCCAAAGCAAACTGATAAGAGACATGAAATTACCAGAGTTACCAGACTGCTTCGTTAGATTCCAGCCAAAAACAGTTTTAAGCCCAGCAAATTACAACCCCATTTCCAAAAAAGTTGAGACGCTGTGCAAAATGTAAATAAAAACAAAATGCAATGATGTGCAAATTATTTAAACCCTGTATTTCATTGAAAATAGTACAAAGACAACAAAACAAATATTGAAACTGGGAAATTTGATTGTTTTTTTGAAAAATATTTGCCCATTTCGAATTCGATGCCAACAACACATTCCAAAAAAGTTGGGACGGGGGCAACAAAAGGCTGGTAAAGTTGTGTATGCTAAAACAAACACCTGGTGGTTAATTGCCAACAAGTCAGTAACATGACTGGGTATAGAAAGAGCATCTCAGAGAGGCTGAGTCTTTTAAAGGTAAGGATGAGGAGGGGTTCACCACTCTGTGTACCTCCTGGCCATTATCTTTGGGCCCTCAGGTGGCACTGCGTTAAAAACAGACACGATTTTGTAGAGGAAATCACTGCATGGGGTTTAGAAACACTTCTGAAAACCACTGTCTGTGAACACAGTTCATCACTGCATCCACAAATACAAGTTAAAATTCTAAAACGCAAAGAAGTAATCATATACAAACAGGATCCTTAAATGCTGCCACCTTCTCTGGGCCTGAGCACATTTAAAATGGACTGAGGGGAAATGGAAAAATGTCCTGTGGTCCGACAAATCAAAATTTGAAATTCTTTTTTGGAAACTGTGTCCTCTGGGCTTAAGACCACTCAGCTTGTTATCAGCGCACAGTTCAAAAGCCAGTATTCCAGATGGTATAGGAGTGCCTTAGTGCACATGGCATGGGTGACTTGCACATTTGTGAAGGTACCATTAATGCTGGGCGATATATAAGTAAAGTTTATATACATGTTTTAGCAACATATGCTGCCATTCAGACGACGTATTTTTTCAGGGAAGGCCTTGCTTATTTCAGCAAGACAATTTCAAACCACATTCTGCACGTATTACAACAGCATTGCTCCGTATTAAAAGAGTCCAGGTGCTAAACTGGCCTGGCTCCAGTCCAGATCTGTCACCCACTGATAATAACGAATAATATGACAAAAGCGACCCCGAACTGTTGAGCAGCTGAAATGTTATACCAAACAAGAATGAGAAAACATTTCACTTTCAAAACTACAGCAGTGTCTCTTCAGTTCCCAAACACTTAGTGTTGTTAAACATGCCCCCCGTCCCAACTTTTTTGGATCATGTTGTTGGCATCAAATTCAAAATGGGCATGTATTTTTCAAAAAAGCAATAAAATTTCTCTGTTTCAACATTTGATATGTTGTCTGTGTAGTATATTCCTTTAAAAATATGGTTTACCTGATCAGCATATCATTGCATTCTATTTTTATTACATTCTGCACAGCGCCCAACTTTTTTGGAAATGGGGTTGTACACAAATTGCTCAAAATACACATAAAAACACTCTGAAGTCCTTTTAACCATAATACAAAGCTTTTGGCGCTTTTCTTGAATCTGAGCACCTCCGACACATTGCGAGTGATGCAAAAACTCTGAAATCCGATTTGAGCATCTAGAGCGTCCAAACTGAGCCGCATCTGTAAAAATCTGACTGAAGCTTTATTTCAAACCACCTCCAAATGTGATTTGAATCTAATTTGCAAAAATCAGATTTCATGTGTTTTTTGCTGTCCAGACTATCTAAATCCGGATATGCCAAAAACCGGATCTGGCCTAGCAGTCTGAACAACGCCAAAGAAACTGCCCTTTTGGCTCCTGATTCTGATTCCAAGTATAGACTCTCAAGTATATCTCAACCAACTTTTCTGTTGTAACTACTGACCAACTGTGTCACTGTATCACGGTTTGTATCATTCTTGTCCATCTAAAACAACTACGCTCAAACCGACAATGTTCATCTACTGACGAAACACACCATTTTACTAGTTGCACACAACTAAGTTAAATTAAAAAATTACAGCATAATGGTATCTGGCATTATCAGTCGAACACTAATCTCTCTTAATTTGTGAAAGAATGGAGATGAGGCAGAATATTTTAAGTGCTTTTTTCCCCCAGCCTAAGGAAGAAGGAAACTGCTTCCAGAATCTACACCGAGAATCTAAATTGAAAATCAAAACTGCCCCACCCTGGTCCTGGAGCACCTTGTCCTGCATATTTTGGTGTTTTCACAACAACACTTTTTAAAATACTCGATATGCATCATCATAGGTTGTTCTAAGATTTGGGAAAAAAAAACTAGAATAGACAAAAAAAGAACCAAGAGTGCAAAACATTCATATCATACCAACTATAAATCAAATGATTTTAAACAGATATATGTCCTGATTGTTCGCCCCCAATTCCAAGTCCGATCCACTATTTGTGTTTTCATATTTAATATAACAGTACAAGGATTGTACTACTCCGCTTCTTAGTACTACAGTAAAGCTACTTCATTTTAGTGTGAGCAAAAAGTTACTTAATTCTGGTCTCACGTTTTGTTTTTTCACCTCCTAATGACCATGTTAATGTGTGTTTAATATTGTCTTCAAATTTGATCAACTGCTCTGATGATCTGGCTACCAGTTACTTTAATATTCTGTGCATACGTGAAAACCAGAAGCAGCTCAGGCGCTGGTTAAACAGAAAGTTTCCGTGATAGTTTCGTTGCAGCTAATTGGTAAATATTGTGGGAACGTGTTTAGTATATGGTTTTCGTGGCATGCCGCTTGTGGTAAGAGGCAGAAATATGTGTAGGTGTAATAACCACGTTTACATTTAACACATTCACTGTGAAATACAGTGGAAACACCAGCAGCGCAAGTATTACATATTTTAACCTTCCGCTTCAAACACAGACATTTATACCACATTTTAACTTCTGAAAATGTGCTTCACTGCTGCAAGTTGTGAAAAACATCCATCTATGCCAGCTCTACAACAGCAGAGTGCATAAAACAGACATTTTCAGATCATGTTTGACCTTAATTTTTTTAATCTACTTTAAGACTTCTTAATGGTCCAACGTAAGCAGCTGCTCTGGGCCCCGTGGCTGCCAGGGGACTCTAACAGCTTCTGGGTTATTACTGTTCCATTATGTTGTCCAAGATGCTCGAGTGAGGGGAAAAAAGCAACTGATTTAACATGTCTCAAAAAAGAATGAACACTTCAAGACCTGAAACAGAAAAGAAAAAGAGCAGAGAAAGCTAAAAAGCTTAAAGATAAAGGTATACAAATATTTTTTTTTTTGGTATTAACATAGTGGATTGGTCTGTCTAACAAACACAGACTTTCTGACATGAGTTTTAGTTTCACAAAACCTAACAAATAGACACAGCTAGCTTGTTTCACAACAGTGGTCAACAATGTTCTCTGTTAATCCAGGTTTAGGTAGATTGTGAGTAATCCAGGTTTAGACACTCAGACTGATGGACAGTGGACGGATTTGATTGAACTAAGCTTACAGTGAGCTGGATGAGCAGGAAATACTGCATGGTGAGACAGAGCCCTGGATGGAGAATGCTGAGAAGATTATCTTTGATTTAAACTGTAACTTATTAGAACCCCAGACGAGCATTCGATTATCAACAATACGCAGATTAGCCAGTTATAAATTTATACAATTTAGTAGGGCTGGACCTGAATATTTGACTTTTCAGATATTTGTTCGTTAGGTAGACATTCAGTTTTTAATTTTTGGATTCGGACATTCTTTTTTTTTTCTTTTTGGCTAAATGTAGGCTATCAATAAAGGCGGACTGCAAAACACTAATGTTCGGGTTGTTGCGAAACGACCCGAGGTTACGGTCCATATCACAGCTTCTTCATCTGATGAAAACAGCTCCAAACACAGTGAGAAGTAGCTCAGCCTCTCCAGAGCTAAAAACAGCCTTCTGCTCTACTCCAGAAAATCCACCACTCCAGCCGTATTCAGGCTCTTCAACATAAAAGTCCTTGCATGAATAAAACAGCCAACATAAACATTTCTTCTCGATAAAAAAAACGTAACTACAACACGGCGTGGCGACACCACAACAGATTTTGTCAGCAAATTCTTGTACATATTTATGCAATATCTATACTTTTTAATTGCGCTGTTAAAATATGGAAATATATACCATCTCAGATCAACACCTGACATCCCGCTCACTCACAACAGTGAATGTCATGCTAACACGTAGACAGCGAGAGGAAAGCAGCTAGCCTGGAGATCCGGATTTTACAGTGGACGAAGCTGCGGATGTGCTTTTAACGTGGGTGTCGGGCACGGATTTTTCTTCACTCCAGGGGTGGTGAATTGATCACTGCCAGGACAACCCTATAATTTAAAAAGCTTGTTGTACTATTAGTTTAGTTAGCATCTAATTACCCAGTACATCAGCTAGCAAGATGGGGGGCCGCCCCAAAAAAATCCTGCTTAGGGCCCCCAAAAGGCTAGAGCCGGCCCTGTCCACGGGAACACCTGACCCAAATAATTTCCTAAGCGAAATGAGTGAGTGCAGAAAAACAAAGATGTACTCCAGGACCAGGACTGAGAACCACAGCCGAAAACCAGGCCTAATTGTTAGACTTAAATGGCATGGGCAGGGCAATGGGAATGGGCAGGAGTACCTGAGAACTGTGGGTTCTGGCATTCCAGGATCTGCTCCCCGTTTGAATCCTGCAAAGAAAGAAAGAAGAGCATAAACTTGAGACAGACAGCATGTTTCGATTGCCCTATTGCAGCAATATTACTTGAAACTCGTTTGCAGAACAAAAACTGCCCTCTGGCTTGCACTGACTGCTAAATGGTTTGTCTGCCTACGCTCTCACACTGTTGCATCACATTTTAGGATTCCTCATTTAGTGAGTAAATGATAAGCGCCCTTCAGAAAACCATAAAGCATAACATTGACTCAGCTTTATGACAGAGTGAAAAAATCCTCTATTACAGAAAAACTAAAGGAAGTGACTATCAATCGTCTTCTGAAACGATGCATTTTAGCATTATGTATCAAGCATGTAGCACTTCAATGAAGCAGCTAAGATTTCAAAACGTTTGGTTTCTTAAAACTGTATATGTGCCTTTATTTATGCAGTACGTATATGCTTATGGATACTTTTAGCATGATAATACATGTTGAGCACCAGAATTTTACCCTAATTTCCCCAACTGCACGTACTACCTTGATTTACATTATCGACATGCTCACAAAACACATAAAAATAGGGATGCAAGATGAGATCAGAATCATATCAACATCTGCAGATTGCTATAAATAAAATTATTGCCATCAGAGATGTTCAGATTTGGCAGAGCAGACATGCACTTGGAAAAACATCAGTTATCGGCAGCAACCGAAAATTCTCATACTGGTGCATTCCTACATACAAAATATGAAAAACGTTACTGGTTTTACTTTGACAGCCAGAAGCCTTTACGTCAACAGGCAGCAAATGGTGCTTAACATTCAGAACACATTTTCGTTTATGACACCTCAACAGTAAGCTGGATTCCCATTACTGTCAAAATGAAAATGTACATGCCTCCTATAAATATGGACTTCTCACAAACCTCAGCAACCCCGGATGCTTTTGAAAACATGAACAAAAAAAACCCCTTCCTAATCACAAGAGAAACTGAGAATAAATCTCAATGAAACTCTGGTTTCCAAGTAATATGTTGGTATATATCGCCAGGACTGCCTGTAATTCTAAAAATATCTTCCATGAGTCGTTCATTTCTCATAAATGCTCTTTCACACTATAGAGCAGCGGTTTCAACTTCTCACATTTCGGTTTGGCTACTAAGATTCAATCAGACGTTTCCATTTTCAGTTTACAGAAGCATATTAATTATATCATGCAGTCATATGCAAAAGTCTGAACACCCCCTGTCAAATGACATGCTTAGTTGATTTTCTAAGCGAAAATAAGTGGAGGCATTGCTTATATTCATTTGAGTTCAACACACAATATAAAACGTGCCATAACTTTTCTATAGGCCACATTTTTATTAACTTTTTATTAACTATGTTAAAAAAAAAAATATATAATCTGACCAGAGGCACCCAACCTTTTGCATACATCTGTATACAGACATAAGCAAATATGCTTGTTCTCATACAGTACTGTGAAAAAGTCAGAGACCCTTCGTTTGTTTAATGTCCAATCAAAACTGCCATTAAGTTCAGGTTTTAACAGTAAATCACATGGAAGCCTCAACCATTAAATATTAGGGAAGAGTAATCAGAATCGACCAGGATCTGAATCAAATCGATACGAAATAGGGAACTGGTCAATAAATAGTTTCTATTAGGCTGATCCGTGTTGCTATTTTATGACATAAAATAATGTGATGCAGGTTATGGCATTCACGCTGTATTTATGTATCTATATTAAACTATTTTGGCTTTGTTTTCTTCTTTTTTGTCTATTTCCTTTCTTGTCTTACAGATCTGAAGCAAAAGAGGAGCTTGAGTTTCTCCTCTCTCTCGAAGATGAAAGCTTTAAGTGCTGTTTATCTGATGGGGACATTTTTGGTGGTCTACCAGGTCTTGCACAGTTCTTAGGAGTTCTTAGGAATGTTTTAATCATTTACTGAACTCCAGTTTTGGAAACTCCTGTTTTTCACTTATTTACCTCTCCTTTCCTTATGTGGAATATCTCCTGTAAAATGAAAAATAAGTGACAAATTTTCAGCTCTGAATGACGTCTGAAAGAAATAACTTTGTGCATACAACTATGAGTGTGGTGCTGATTCAGACTAGAGTAAAAGTAACAAAGTGCTTGGGAAAGAGAAAGTATGAACAGTGCAGTTTTACAGTCAGCTGGGGAAAAATTTGGGCAGTACTCTTGGGGCTCTGGTGCAACAAAACTGACCCGAATACACAATTTTTCATACTCAAATGATAAAACACTTAACACGATGTACGGCCAGAGTAAAAATAGCTGGTCCAGGAAGTGACTTAGATAGTGCTCACAGAATAACGTTCTTGCGACGTCAATATTCTTCTGTACATGCGCAAAAGAACGGTCTAAAGAGTTATTATGCAATAGGAGCAGTTCCATGTCTCAGTGCTTCCGCTGTATCACTTTCAGACACTGAGCTCATTTCCACGGTTAAAAAAAAAATAAAAATATTAGTAATGGCACTCGAGTACTACATGGAAAGTGCTTATCGGAGTGCTCCATCACAGACACCAACGTTAAAGCAAAAATGTGGAACAGTCAGTGGGCACCACCAACTGGGCCAAGAAACACTGTGGTAACACAAAATAATAGATGAAACAGAACATATCAAAAAACAATGTCTTCTAGATATGCACCAGTATGGCGAAACTGGGCCGTTACCAGATTCCCAATACTTTTGATGCACTTATCTGTCATTGCCAATGCAGATATATTAATATAAACATATAATATGCAGAAACTGGGACCAGTTTCACCGGGAATATCATTAGGAAGAAATGTAACAGTTATTTGTAGAGTAAGAGATGGTAAAATAAACAAAAAGCAGAGATTTCAGGGCAGAAGAAACCTCAACAATCACCTAAACAATCTGCTCTTCTGAGCTATAAATAAATATACCACCAAATATCACTTTGAAATCATTTAAATCTAAACATCTATCCGACGTCTATGTTCTTTGAACAATTATCTGCCAATATGATTCAAATATCATCGTGGATCCCTGTTAGCCTCTATAGACAATTACATCAGGGCAACACATCCACTTGATTTTTCCGTGCAACTCAATATTCGAGAACATAGTTTAGCATTTATTGAGACAGATGTAAAAAAATAAATAAATAAATAAATAAATAATGCTGGCCAGTAACCAGTAATTTTACAGATAATAATAAGTTCAACTTATATAACACCTTTCACAAACCCAAGGATGATTTACATAGTGTCAAAAAAAAAAACCTAGAAGACTAAAGAGAAGAAAAAAGGATTTTTTTTTTATACTATGTAAATTCTTGGGTTTGTGAAAGGCGCTATATAAGTTGAACTTCATATTATCTGCAAAATTACTGGTTACTGGCCAGCATTATTTTTACATGTCTCGATAACTGCTAAACTATGTTCTCGAAAATAGAGTTGCATGGAAAAATCAAGTAGATATGTTGCTCTGATGTAATTGTCTATAGAGGCTAACAGGCATCCACAATGATATTTGAATCATATTGGCAGATAATTGTTCAAAGACCGTAGATGTCAGATAGATGTTTAGATTTAAATGATTTCAAAGTGATTTCAAAGAGCAATTACGAAGAGTGGAAGGTAGAGAGTTTGAGGGCAGCAGCACTGAAAGATCTGCCACCCATAGTAGAAAGTCTAGTGAGGAGTCCAGCATTAGAAGACAGGAGAGCACGAGAGGGACAGTATAATGAAATGAGATCAGAAAGGTATGTCGGAGCCAGACCATGTAAAGCCTTGAAGGTAAGAAGAAGGATTTTGTACTTAATCCTAGAACTAATAGGAAGCCAATGCAACTGTCGAAGAACAGGAGTAATATGACCTGTGCGCTTGGTGGAGGTAAAAACCCTGGCTGAGTTTTGGATGTACTGAAGACGACTGATTACTTTAGCTGGAAAGCCATAGAAAAGTGAGTTACAGTAATCGATGCGAGAGAAGACGAAAGCGTTAATCGACATTTTAGCACCAGTGTCACTCAGCATAGGGCGTAAGCGTGCAATGTTTCGCAGATGATAAAGTGCAGTTTTGGTGATGAGCTTTATGTGAGACTCAAAAGTGAGATATGAATCAAGAAGACAGCCAAGGTTCTTAACAAACTGGGCTGGCTTAATATCGACGCCATCAATGTCAACGGAAAAGTTCAATACCCGGGAAAGTGACGTTTTAGCTCCAACTAACAGAACCTCAGTTTTATCAGCGTTTAGTTTCAGGCAACTGTTTTGCAACCAGACTTTTAAATCTCTGACACAAGAACTGAAAGCCTGGGCAGAGGCAGAGAGGGAAGTAGTGCTGATATAAATGTGAATGTCATCAGCTTAGCAGTGAAAGTTAAAACCAGGCTGTACATGAACACTACGCTGTATGTTGCAGTCAGTGCTGGTTTAACTGGAGAGAAAATGTACTACTGTATCCCTGATCATTCTGTCTGTTTTTCTATCTATCTCTCTGTTCTGTCTATTTTCCCATCTATCTATCTATCTATCTATCTATCTATCGATCTATCGATCTATCTATCTAGTCTGTTTTCCTATCCATCTGTTCTATTTTCCCATCCATCCATCCATCCATCCATCCATCCATCCATCCATCCATCCAGTCTGTTTTCCTATCCATCTGTATCTATCTATCTATCTGTCTCTCTCTCTGTTCTGTCTGTTTTTCTATCTATCTCTCTGTTCTGTCTGTTTTTCTATCTATCTCTCTGTTCTGTCTGTTTTTCTATCTATCTATCTATCTAGTCTGTTTTCCTATCCATCTGTTCTATTTTCCCATCCATCCATCCATCCATCCACCCATCCATCCAGTCTGTTTTCCTATCCATCTGTATCTATCTATCTATCTCTCTCTCTCTCTATCTCTGTTCTGTCTGTTTTTCTATCTATCTCTCTGTTCTGTCTGTTTTTCTATCTATCTCTCTGTTCTGTCTGTTTTTCCGTCTATCTCTCTGTTTTTCTATCTATCTATCTATCTAGTCTGTTT